ATTTCAGAACAATTCTATTAGAAAGTGTGTATGTTATTGTAACTTATATCATTGTTTTTGTTCTCAAGCTTTTCTCCACTTTTTAAAAAGCAGGATTTGCTTCATCCACCAATATTAGCACTTACTAGAACGCAACAGTTGATGTCTCTGATTTATAACTGAAATATTGACCTTGTGAAGTTACACTTCTTATCCAAAGATATTTAATATTAGCTATTCCTGTGTTTATTGTCTTTCTTTTTGAAAACTCCTTTAGAGAATGCTAAGAGCAAAGGCACTGTGAACCAATGAAAGGATCATTAGAGTAGCCTTCCAGTAAATAGGTGGGTACCAATGAATGTGAAGTTCTTTTAGTGAGTCCTCTTACTAAACAGGTTAGGAAATCCAGATCTAATGAAAACAGACTGTGTTCTTGATTGTGTTTATGTACTTTGTAAGGCAATCTTCCACAGGTCTACTACGTACTAAAGCTCCACAGAGTTCAGTGGAATTTATTCCCAATGTGTACAAGGTGAAAGCTTCAGAGGCATACATGTAACAAAGTCTATTCTAAGCAAGAGTTTCATAGATCCTGATAGCTGTTTAAGGCTATTTTGGATGGTTTTTTATACAAAGTTTTTCTGGGAGAATGCTTTTATAAAAAAACGGAATAGCACTGAGAAACGCAAAATGCAGCCCTCCAGGTGTCAATTACATTGTCCCTCACAATTAGCTATTCTAACTAAGATTGATGGGATATTCAGTATAACAACAACTTGTCACATTCCTGAACTGTTGGGTTCAGGTAAGGTCCTTAACTAGCTGAAATGCTGAACTAGATGACTTACAAACTGACATACTATTTAAAAAATTTACTCAAATTCAAGAAACAAAAATGGAAAAGGACTTCCAAATATATTTGCAGACAAATACACTTTGTTTTTACTGGGTCATTGAATATTAATGAGCAAGATTACGTATATTTATTTTCACTGAGTTTTGTATTGTACTTTCAGATTTTGCAAGGATAGTTTGTTTATTATTTTAAATAATACCGGATGGTGCATTTTAGCTGAGTGGTTGTGGTGTTGGAGAAAGGTTTTGCAGATGCCATGGACCTCCTAAAAAAGAAATAAGTGAATTCTATGTCAAATCAAGACTGATTTCTCATAAGAAGCTAAAATTTATTTGTTTATATTATTAAATTCTTAAATGTTAAAATATTTTATCTCGCCTTTCTCCAATGACTAAAATGACTCAATTGAGGTCATCATGCCTCTGACATACCATGAAAAAACAAGACATTTGAAAAGATAATTAAGTAATGTTAGGAAAGCCGTACAATAAGACAGATTAACTCCATACAAGAAGCAAAATACTTTAATTTGCAATATCTGAGCAGGGCTGTTAATTAAAAAACTGTTGTGAGATAATTAATTCATAGGGTTGCAATAATACTGAACTGACTTGATTGCATGTAATAATATATAATATGCTCTGTTGCAGCCTGCCTAAACAGCTGTTGTCCAAATGCATTGAATGATAGCTCCCAGAATCCTTTAGTGAGTGAGGCATGATAGGAGTTGTAGTCCAACACACCTGGAGAGCACTAGATCTGGAAAGGCTATTCTATGGAGATACCTCTCTGCTTGGCTGTTACATTCGTGTGGAGAAGCACTGGCATCATCCCAAGTATCCTATGTTTCTTTGGTGGAAAGATCAAGACATTTTTATGATATGCTCACACAACACTATTCTGTGCTTGCTCATGGCAGTTTGCCACCTGAAACAGAGCAGCGTATTCTATGCCCACCCTGCTCAAGGCCAAGAGTACTCCAAGCCAGCCAAATTATTTTTATGTTACACGAAACAAGAAATTTCATAAGCACCTCTCTCCATCCCGTGCAGTATAACAATAAAACATTAACTCATTAGCAATTTGCTGGCCATTTGTGACACCTGAAGTCTTTTGCCTGAGCTGGTTCAACCTGATGTTCCATCACTCACTTTTGTAGATAATGTTTTGTGGTATCGGGCAACGAATACCTCACACCTTGGTTGGAAGACACTGCTGGTAAATATTCTCACAGCATTTTCTAATTGTAATCTAATTTGACAGCTGCACAATAAGAGACCTCTGATCAACAATTCATGGGAAATGCCAAATCTAGTGTAACAATAATGAGAAGAACTGTGATATAGCGGAGTTTCACTCTGTTTCTCTGCTTGCACTACAAGTGCGCCTGGTTCTGTGACTGGTTACATAACTGGAAACATGCAGTGAAATCCTGTTGGTGTAACTTATATCATCCCTGCACAACTAGGATGATATAATCAGTTCATGGTGGCAATATTTAATTTAATGTTTAATTAATCCTTTTTAGATTCTGAGGGAGCCCTGGGGAGCCTGAGAACCTGAAGGAGAGTCAGGAAGCTTTCAATTCAATTCAATTCAATATTACCATTGTGGGCTGAAAAAAAATGTGATGTATAGTTACACCAACAGTAACTTACTCTGCATAAGCTTAACTTTGTGCATGTACTCCAGAACTACATGCCCACGAATGCAATCACATTTGAACTTGAGAAATGACATTGCTAGATCATAGCCAAAAAGATTTAGCTTAAAAAAGAAATGTCAAGACCAAATATAGCCAAGAGTTCTTGCCATTCAAGCAACAGGAAGGACTACCTCTGTGATTATGTATATTATTATTAAATAAAGCTGGATTATTATGACTTGTGTAGTAGACAGTACAGCTGAACTGCAGAGAAAAGGCAGCGTATCACTTCCTTCAACCAGTGCTCTGTTAATGATTAGACTAAATTGAGTAACAATGTTCAACAAATACCAGGAGGATTTTTAAAAACAGTGTGAGAGTTCAACACTCTATTTAAGTTAAACCATTCAATTTTCCCTGTCCCAAAACAACTGATAACTATGTTTTGTTTTGTTTTCTTAAGTTCATTTTTTTTATTTGGAAATATGGACATTTTTTGCCAGCCTTTGTGATTGTTTTCATGACGTGTCATTTATAATTTCTTTTCCAGAATTGCTCTCAGGTTTGGAACCCAGAATTTTCAAACATGGCAGCCCTTCTTTAGCAATTAAGGATGCTATTGTTTTCATAGAATAATAAAAATAATCATGTGCTATCAAGTTAATTCTGATTTACAGCGACACTTTCCAGGGTTTTCTAGGTAGTGAATACTCTGAAGTGGTTTACTCTTCCCTTTTTCTGGGAGCTCCCTGGAACTGTGCAACTTGTCCAAGGCCACACAGGCTGGTTCTACTCACAGGAGGCACAGTGGGGAATCAAACTCCCAACTTCTGGCTACACAGCCAGATATCTAATTCACTAAGCTATCCAGCCAACTGTCTCATTACAATCTCCCCACTAATTTATATATTATTGTTCTCAATTTTGATTTCTAAGAATCAAACTGAACCATTACCTAGCTAAGGCAGGGAAGTCCCTGGCAGAAGACCAAGAAATGGAGACCAGCGTGGCGCAATGCAATTTTACTGGAGCCAAAAGATACACGCTAATGGCTGTGCTCTAAAGGTGAGCAAAAGCCCCTAACAAAGACAGTGACAGACCCTTATACCTTAGCGTATCAGATTCTTATGCTAAAGATCTCATGGAGCATCTTGAAGGGAGGTTGGGCATGGACTGGGAGAGCAGGTTTTGACCAGTTTCAGGACAGTACTGGCCATTCTTGATAAGAACATTGTATTGTCCAGGCCCCGTCGAAGGCCCCTTTTTGAAGGTTACAAGGAGACCCATCTATCTCTCCCTATAGACTACACAACAGCATTGAGAATTGTCAGAAACATACACACATGTACTTAGGCATGGAAAGAGGCAAACAACAAAGGCACAATACTTTTGCACTACAAGACACTGGTAGTTTTCTTGGAAAATACATAGCAATGACTACATCAATAGAATTTAATAATATGCATGTTCAGGGAAACATGTATTCCATGCAGTTAGCCCATTACCCCTTCTTCAATGTAATTTTCTTAAAGATGTATGCCTTGGCAATCAGACCTTACAATGATCAATCACATATCAGAGCATGCTAGAATTTTGAATTAAAAAGTCAGGGAAAACCAACCCAGTGCTACATGAAACAGCACTACATTTAAATTGACACCAAGTGCATTGTCTAATTTGATTCCCATTCCCAACTTTGCCAGTAATCATGTTGAATGAGGCATTCTGGGTAGGGTTGCCCGGTCTCGGGTATTGGCTCTTACAGTCATGGTTTGGATTTAATCTTTCATATCTCAAACTTTCAACCTGTAATCTCAGGGAATGGGATGCCACCAATTTGGCTACCTAGATTTTGAGTTCATATTTAGGACTTCAGGACTTGTTACTCAGACATACATTTTTTTCTTATTCATTAACTGATATCCTGTTGCACAGTTATGCAAAAGGCATAGTCTTTAAGAGTCCAGAAGCCAAAAGATAAGAAACCTCTATAGACATTATTGGTTGCATGCTGACTTGTGTGACCCAACATGCAACAGATAATGTCTATAGAGGTTTCTTAACTTACAGCAATTTGACTGTAAAAATCAAACCTTTGTGCAACAGGATTTCAGCCACTGTAATGCTCCTGCAGCTTGAATTCATGCACTAGCGTGTGACATCACAAAGGTCCACTCCAATAGTGCTACAAGGGGCTGCCCCTAAATCTGAGAGTTGCTGCTAAAATCTCAAGGTTGTTGACCTAAAACCATTGTTCTGGGGTTGTAGTCCAAAAAATGTTAATTTTTTTCCAAGCTCTGCATTCTACATAACTGAACAAGTTCAGAAGCGGAGGGACTGCAGTGAAAGCTGCAGAAGTGACCTGTGACATTGTTAGTGTTTCTGCATTCTTGTTTAACCTGAGTGGAAGAATTGATTAGACAACAAAACAAATACTTTGTGGACTTTGTTTAAGGATATATCCCGTGGTTGTTCCTGAATGAGAACAGTGACGGGCAAAAAACGCAAGGGGATTGGCCTGAACTAGGGGATCAGCTTACATTAAAAGGCTGTACTCTGGTTTGGGAAATGTCAATATATTTGACCTCAGAGGAATTTTAACTCAGTTTGTCATAAGATTCTGGAGTCATGAGTGGGTGCCCCTTTTGGAAGAACAAATATCAGTAAGTACATTCTTTTTGAAACAAACAACATACTAATTCAGATAACCACTATCTGCATGCTCAGACTTAAGAAGACAAAAAGAAATACTAATTATGGCCCTACTGATATGTGATTAACTGCTTAAAAAAAGAAGTTTCTTTGTCAGATCATGGCTTTTAATAGGGCACATTCTGCTGTGCAATTTACAGTAAAGCTGGGACCACTGGATCAATCCTTTCTCAGTTGTGTTAGACATATGAACTGGCAAAATGATTCAACAGACCACACATGTGTGTTTGATCACTTTAGTTAAGTATTGGGCTGTTTTTTTGTTTATTCACAGATTTAATTTCAATAAACTTCCTTTGGATGGGGAAGATGACAAGTCACAAGAAGGGTTAAATAAAGCAAGCAAAGGTGGCCTTATCTATGGAGACTATCTGAAGGTAAGTGTAAACTTGTGCTAACTTGAAAAATAATGCATGAGGCTTTTTGCACATGGTCAAGTACAAATATACTGACTATAGATTCGATAACAGCCCATAAGCTCTCTGTGATATTGAAACACATTTTTTATGCATTCTGTCCTTGATGGGGAAGAAAAATAGAATTTTCAGGATTAAAAAAAGGATTTAAAATTTAAAGTTAAAAAAGCTGCCCCATCTGTATCATATTTAAAAAAGCAAAAATAATTAAAAGTAATATAGTCATAACAGATTTTGTTGAGCCAGAGCTTTTATCAGAAAGCTTGGTTTAAAAAAGCAAAAGCCTTTTTGCATTTTTGAAGTGGCAACGTCTGCAGTTTAAGGTGCTAAGGAATGCTGATATTTTCTAAGCGTGCTTTTTAGCCATGAGGCTTTCACTGTAAATGATGGTTTCTAAGTTATTTAAACTGCTAGAGGAGGTTGCAAATGGGTGTTTCCCAGTGGGTGATACTAAAATGGGGAAGAAAATCAAGTGGGTACTGTGGCCAATGGTACTTTGTCATAATGCAGCAATCAGCACCTTTTTGTCTCTCCATAGCTATCCACTGCCTCATGGCTGAAGTGTACATTAATTACAAGTAGTGTTTAGTTTCTGCCATCCTCCTCCCAAACTTGGAGAAGTTAATTTTTATGGATGACACGTCAACTTCCTGCTAGCTTTCAAAAGTACCTCCCAGATGCATAGGGCCTGTGGATAGTGAAGTGGCTTGGTTAGGAGTTAAATTCCCCACTGTGCCTCCTTGACAGGGGTGTACTCGATGAACTATAGGGTCCATTCCAACTTTGCAGCTATAAGATAATGGTGGTGATGATTTTTTTGAGAAAAAGTGTGTTAGCAGTTGAGTCGCGTCTCCCTAATTAAAATGTATACTTTGTTTTCTCTCATATCCGAATTTTGCATTTCTGTCAAATTTATGAAGAAACATACAAATATTTGGAAATCTGTTATCAAAAAGAAACCAAACATCAGCCTGCACTGGCCACATTTAAAGAGTGTACTTATTTCCAGTGTGGAAAGGGTTCTGTTAGGCCTGACAACCATGTAAAGTAAAAGATAAAGAATTTGCCAGAAAGGAGACAGGTTGAAACTCAAATTCATCACAACAGATGTTAAATAAATGGGGATACAAAGGCAGGCTTTTAAGAGCTAAACAACACATCTGAGTGTTTTCCCCCTTTCCCTTTTATTTATTTATTTATTTATTGTTTGTTTGTTTGTTTGTTTGTTTGTTTAAAACTTCCTAGTTCTTTTCTGTTGTAGACATTAAGAAGCTGGCAACGGTTCAAAATTTCTGTGGGAAAGTAAACAGAATTCTTAATACACCCTCAGTGAACAAAGCAGAGCTAAGAATACTAAATGCCAATACTGCTGTGCCATTTACATTTCTATCTACTGTCATGAGATTGATCAAAGTATGGGAGCCCATTCAGAAGGCAGAAAGGAAAATAGTGATTCACCCCCTTGTGTCATGAGAGGATAACTGGCTGAACAGTAATTTGCACTCTCCATCAGTCATATAATTAATGCTCTCCTTGCCCCCTATAATGACTGAATTGAGCCTTCATCAGAGTCTTATTCAGGCATTCAGAAAAAAAAGCCTGAATGTGTGAAGAAACGCAGTAAGGTATGCCTCTCTCCTCTGCCCTTGCTTTTTTTTTTTTTAAGTAAAGAACCTTCTGAATCCTTTCAGATATAGCCTCTTCATATGAATTTCTCAGCATAGCACAGTCCCTTCTTTTCACTTTCCACATGAAGAGGGTGACAGTTAAGACTCCAAGACTGGCTTGCTTCTCCTCCTCACATGTTCATATTAGTTTCATGTCTACTGGGATGACGGTTTACTCAGTTTTTTTAATGCAAAGTACATATAGACCTTTGGTGGATCTTCAGAAGCTTCACTCAAGCAGTAGGGTGGCCATCTATCCTCCTCTGTACTAGACCGTCCTCTCTATGAAGGAATATACCAATGGCATGATACATTTTTATTCCCATATATTATAATGGCTGGAACAAAATGTACCACAGTGGCAAAATGTGATACATTTCTTAGGATGATTTGTGTCCAACTGTATTATATCTGGGTTGGGTTTTTTTTAATGCTGTATGTAGTTGGTGGCTGGAACATGGGAGCATTGTTTGCAACTCCTGAAATAACAGTGCCATAGAATGTCTACGCTGTTGGCTTAGTTCTGGGTGCATTCTGTCACAAAATATGACTCTGGTGTGCTAAAATGCTCTGTCATGGTATTGAAGGATTAAAAAGGGATATGAAAAATTAAAGGAGACTAACTGTGGCTGCTGTGGCTGACTATGTATTACTTCCAGTACTAGAAGTGGTATGATATCAGGAGAGAGTGGGACAGTGCTGTGAGGTTCCTGTTCTACTTTTGGGTTACCTTCCAAATATTTCCAGATGGCACTTTTGGCCATGTGTTACTATTGGCTGTACTGGCTAGGAATGATGGAAGTGCAGCCCAATGGCATCGTGGTTGTTGCACTTTGCCTACCCCTCTTGTACATATCTGTCTGTCATACAACTGGCTCGCATACAACTGCTTTAGGTATAAAAGCATGACCAAAAACATAAATAAAATAGCATGATGGGAGCCATAATTTAATTTTATCAAGAGAAAACAGCCCTAGAAATAAGTGTTATGATCTAGATGTTGGGGTTGAAAACTTGCTTTGTGCTGAAAACCATGCCTTCGCTTCTTGAAAAAGGCTATTACTGTAGACCAGAGATTTTTAAGAAAACTTCCTAATTCTTCATTTTCATTGATTTAGGCTATCCAACAAGACACTTCAGTGTCCAATATTCAAGCTCCATGAGAAAGAATGAGACAAAGTTTTCATTTTAGACTATCCAACAAGACACCTCAGTGTCCAGTTTTCAAGCTCCATGAGAAAGAATGAGACAAAAAGCAGTTTTTTTTCTTTCTTTCAAGGCCTTTGTAATTGGCATAAACTGTCTATGCACAAAACTAGTGACCTGTCTGTCTCCTTCAGAAGTGAACAACACATGCACAATAAGCACAGGACAAGCTGATTGTAAGACACAAACAGTGTCTTTGTAAGACACAAACAGTCCCTCTGATGCTTCCAGTGCTGAAAATGCAAAATGGTAGCAATTGTTGTCCTATTATGCAATACCTGTCATTTGCATTAAAACACTAAAACTAAACCAAACTAACAGAAGGCAGTTTTGTGGGAATTAGTCATATACTGTTTCTTCTCTCTTCTAAAGCTGGACAAAATTTTGAATGCTCAGGTGCTTCAGAGTGAAAAGAAGGGTAACAAAATCCATGATGAACATCTGTTTATTGTGACCCATCAAGGTAAATATTATTGTTTGAAGATAAAATAATTTTAGTGGACATGGTTATAATCATAAGATCATATGATATGTCCACCCTCTATTTCTCAGGATCCTTGTTGTATTTGAAAATATTGAGTATTAAATTGATATAATGGGGTAATCACCTTGTGAAGCTATAGACTGCAAGTTTATATGCAGTAACAGACACACTCACACTTAATGCATTGTAAACAAAATTCATTGCATGCTTTTGTCTATATGGATGCCCTTTCCCCTGCTGAAAGGTTTTTAAAAAGTGACAAGATCTTTCTCTGTGCATGGGCACAACTAGCATCTTGCATTTCTTTGATACTTCTGTATTATTCAGACATTCATTTGAATGCACATTGGAGTCTGAAGATGTTTCTGGGTCCTTCCTCAGCATGTTCAGCATAGTATCTGAATTCTATATTTTAAAGAAAATCATGGAAAGGTCTTGTAGCACCATAAAGACAAAGAAGTTGCACTTGATTGGCATTTGCTTTGGTGGGTTTTAGCCTACTTCTGAAGATGTGGGCTACAGAAAGCGAAAGATTATGCCCAATGGAACTTTGTAGTCTTTAAAGTACTACAAGACTTTGTTGGTTTTGTTGAAAAAGACTAACAAAAATGGTTATTCCATTGGAAATATATGCATAGACTCCACCCAGGCAGTCAGGGATGTAGAAAAGTTTCCCCATCATGTGAGTGAAGCACATTGTTTTTATGTGCACAGAAATTTTTATATAAACATGGGTGAATGAAGTGCTACAGAATGGAATCAGTGCCTGTAAGATTATTGGTATCCTGATTCCATCTTCTGTATGCATTCAGACTGAAACATGTACAAATGTTAGTGATGGGAAAAGAAATTTACACTACCCAATTGTTATTATTGCTGTTATACATATGTATAAAATCTATGGTTTGTGAGACTGCTAATGAAAATGTACACATATCTTTCTGTTTTCCTTCCTTGGGAAGAAAATGCAAGAGGCAGATTCTTTGTTTGCTTTGCTCTTTTGAGTTATATAATAAATGTGAACATGTCAAAAAGTGTTGTCTTCCAGAAATGTGCACAAACATACTTAGTCTATGGGAAATATATATATACACAAAAATGGGTACATAAAAATGAGTACCATTTTTCTTTTTTTCTTTATGTACTCATTTATGTACATAAAAATGAGTACATAAAGAAAAAAAGTGTTAAACGAGGCATACATTAGGAAGCCTGTGTATCAAAAAGTCCAGGTCTACATAAAGAATAATACTGTAAAGTCTTTTAACCATATGCAAAACGAAGATGGGGATAAACTGCAAATAAACTCAATGAAATCGAGTTGTATTTTAGCATTCCTAATGAATGCATATTGTAGATCTGCAGATCTCTTTGATATTCATGTGTGTTTGGGGCAAGAAACACATAAAGATTTGTTGCTACTGATACAGTATTTTACTCCTATCCTGTTAAACCATCACATAGCTTCAGGCTCCTTGAAGTGAAAGACAAAAAGGCAAGATAAGGAAATGAATGAAGTGACACCAAGACAGAAAACTAAGTGCTATTATGCACGCTTTCCCTTATATTTCATCCTCAAGCAAGCATGGCAAATATTTATATATGACTTTTGTAATAAATGTGGAGAGGATGAACTCTTGATAATTCACGTAACTTACTATCACCATTAAGAAGAAATGAAACTAACTCAGTCCCTTTCCATTGTAGCTTATGAACTATGGTTCAAGCAGATCCTATGGGAGCTGGATTCTGTCCGGGTGATATTTCAAAATGGTCACGTACGTAGACAAATAATGCATCTCATTTAATACATTTATATTGTGGTGTTTTTTAACCAAATAAGCACTGAGTGTTTGAAATTCAACACTTAGTTAACCGTTCTATGATATGGAGGATATTTCTGTAAGAAATGTGGATTCATTCTAGGGACAGCTGGGTAATTCTAAATGCTTAAGAATGCAGTCCTTTCTACAATTACTGAACTACCACTCAACTCAATGGGGCTTACTTTTGAATAAACATGTAAATGGCTGTATTGTTAAAGTGCAAATTTTCCGCATACTGTTTTGTAAAGTCTTATGAATGCTGAGAAAACAAACCTGAACTTATGGAGAGAGCATCTAGTGGGCTGTTGGATACTCTTAGTTTCTTTCTCCATCTCTATAATCAGAAACAGAGATCCACCAATGGATCAGCTCTTGTACCATAACAGAAAGTTTTCCTGTTGCCACTGGACCTTTTGCGATGCTCCATAGACAGTAGAGCTAAAAATGAGATGTTCCAAGGATACATTGGGTAAAGCCTTGGATCTATCAGATCCAAGATTTCTTCTTTCCTCGAGCCTCCTTAACAAATAAAGATGACTTAATTCATTTAAATTTATCTATATCTATAGTTATATCTACATCTATAGCTACAGTGACATATAATCAGCTGATTTAAATTGTGATTTTATCTATTAATCAAGCAAAACTTAAATTATTGATTGACAAAGATTGCAGTAGTGTACTGGCAAATTTAGAAGTTTCCATTACCTGTGGCCCGTGGTTTGAGCTGTGAGGGGGTCATCCCAAGGTGCTAGGCTGAGCTTCTCCCTCATCCTATAGACTATGGACCACCTAAGATTTCCATAGCAGTACCCCAAAGGGTGGTCCAGAAATTCAGGTGGCAGCGGCGATCCTTATGAACACACCTGTAGGAGGTCCAATTGGTAATCCAAACAAGAATAGATTGAATCAACTGCTAAATGGAGGGGTTTTCATCCCTTTGATCCCTTTTCATCCCTTGTTCTAACTAAGATCACTGACTGAATTCAGGGCCAAGTCACCACAAAATACTACGAATTACAATTACAATCCGACTCTTCGTGACCCCATGGACCAGAGCACCCCAGGCCCTCCTGACTTCCACTTCCTCTCAGAGTTGAGTCAAATTCATGTTGGTAGCTTCGATGACGCTGTCCAACCATCTCGTCCTCTGTTGTCCCCTTCTCCTCTTGCCTTCACTCTTTCTTAACAACAGGGTCTTTTCCAGGGAGTCTTCTCTTATCATGAGATGGCCAAAATTCTGGAGCCTCAGTTACACGATCTGTTCTTCCAGTGAGCGCTCAGGGTTGATTTCCTTCAGAATGGATAGGTTTGTTCTCCTTGCAGTCTAGGGGACTCTCAAGAGTCTCCTCCAGCACCACAATTCAAAAGCATCAATTCTTCAGTAGTCAGCCTTCTTTATGGTCCAGCTCTCACTTACATACATTGTTCCTGGAAAAACCATAGCTATGACTATGCGGACCTTTGTCGGCAAAAGCATAGCATTGACTATGTGAACCTTTGTCAGCAAGGTGATGTCTCTGCGTTTTAAGATGCTGTCGAGGTTGGTCATCACTTTCCTCCCAAGAAGCAGGTGTCTTTTAATTTCGTGGCTGCTGTCACCATCTGCAGTGATCATGGAGCCCAAGAAAGTAAAATCTGTCACTGCCTCCATATCTTCCCCTTCTATTTGCCAAAAGGTGATGGGACCAGTGGCCATGATCTTAGGGTTTTTTTTATGTTGAGCTTCAAACCATTTTTTGCGCTCTCCTCTTTCACCATCATTAAGAGATTCCTTAATTCCTCCTCACTTTCTGCCATCAGAGTGGTATCATCTGCATATTTGGCAGATATTTGGCGAAACGTCTACTCCCACCAAGCTCTACCTGGATCACCCGTGCAAGTCAGGAAGTGAGGCTGAGGGGCCTGATGCCCAGAGAGGCCCAGAAGGAAAAGACATGAAATCGGGCCTTCTCGGTGGTGGCTCCTCGCCTCTGGAACAAACTTCCTCTGGAAATTCATGTGGCCCCTACTCTGGGTATCTTTAAAAGCCAAGTAAAAACATGGATGTTTATTCATGCCTTCCCTCCAGTCAATACTTGATTGGGCGGGATACAAATCAAATCAAATCAAATCAAATCAATCAATCAATCAATCAACAATCAATCAATCAATCAATCAATCAATCAATCAATCAATATTGGAGGTTGTTGATATTTCTTCTGGCAATCTTAATTCCAGTTTGGGATTCCTCCAGTCCAGCCATTTGCATGATGTATTCTGCATATAGGTTAAATAAGTAGGGAGACAATATACAGCCTTGTCGTACTCCTTTCCCAATTTTGAACCAATCAGTTGTTACATATCCAGTTCTAACTGATGCTTTGTAAGGTGGTCAAGCGCTCCCATTTCTTTAAGAACTTGCCATAGTTTGCTGTGGTCCACACAGTCAAAGGCTTTTGCATAGTCAATGAAGAAGAAGTAGATGTTTTTCTGGAACTTTCTGGCTTTCTCCATAATCCAGTGCATGTTAGCAATTTGGTCTCTAGTTCCTCTGCCCCTTTGAAATCCAGCTTGTACTTCTGGGAGTTCTCGGTCCACATACTGCTGAAACCTACCTTGGAGGATTTTGAGCATAACCTTGCTAGTGTGTGAAATGAGTGCAATTGTATGGTAGTTGGAGCATTCTTTGGCACTGCCCTCCTTTGGGACTGGGATGTAGACTGATCTTTTCCAATCCTCTGGCCACTGCTGAGTTTTCCAAATTTGCTGGCATATTGAGTGTAGCACCTTAACAGCGTCATCTTTTAAGATTTTAAATAGTTCCACTGGAATGCTATCACCTCCACTGGCCTTGTTGTTAGC